CTACTACACACATGCCATCTCTCCAGAGATCGCTTTCCTGGTTGCCATTCAGTGCTGTTACACATTCGGAAATACTTCAGAAAACTGAGCCTGGAGAATTTCTAGGCTACTTTTAGCACAAAGCCCATCAATATATCCTCAACGAAACCCTCACCTGTATTACTGCTTCCACCGCTTCCTTGTCGGCACTCTTCAAATAGCAACATATCTGAGATGCCCTCATGGACATATTCACTGGTAACTGGCGCCTTTCTATTTCGGCCAGCATTGAACTAAAATAAAAAACTGTGAAATAACATTTTCCCACATTACGCTTCTCACATTAGCAAATCTTGGCCCCTAAAATTCGATGAGCTCCCGACGGACGCAATTTTTGCTGGAGATTTTAGGGCGCATCTTGCATCACATCAAATAGCCTGGCAGTTCCAATCAGTGTATTCTCACTTCGAAATTTTTAATATACGGGACGCTGTATATCAAAAATCACGTAAGTTTGCCGTAGCTCATGTGCTGCGTCTATTTTCTTTAAAACCCGGTACACGCCTACGCATTTATATTAAAAATTTACGTATGCCATCAAATTAAGTGAAAATAATAATGCATCCCTTATTACCAACATCTATACATACTCGAACGAATTAATGTCTCCCGTTAGAGACAGTTGTTTTAAGAGAAGAGCGAAGAAATCTTCGTCCGGATTGAGTTTGAAGGTTGCTTCCGTCTCTCTTAACATTTTCCACGCATCAAATTTCTGCTCAATCGCCAACAGCGTTGACAAACGGCTTTTCAGCATCGGCAACGTTACTGCTATATCTGTAAATTACAAATTTGCCATTTTTTTCTTTTTTTTTTTTTAGAAATTCGTAACCTATGGTCCAAGCACTTTGAGGAGGAGGGCAATTACAATTGTTCAGAAACTTACTGCTGTTGAGAAGAGCAGCCCAGAAGCGATTTATCAGCAAGGCCTTCTCAGTGTTGGTAGCATTGCTCATCGGAAGTCCACACAAACTTATCAGGAATGGAACATGCATATCCGCAGAACAGCGTATATAATCGACAAGAACCTCTAAATTAATTTCTCTTCGTGAAGCTAATTTCAACAGTTTAACAGTGAAGCAAATCTGGCTTTTCAAGAATTTCAGCTTAATAACACTGATGTGAGCGGTGTCTTTAACCTTTTTTGATGTTACATTATTCCTTCTTTCGTCGCAC